TAAATACCGTGTTATCTGTGCATGTATCACCCTATCTGCGCATGTTTCAGACACAGATGACGAAATCGCAGCAATTAATGACTCGGAAGCGGACTGCCAAGCCATCACCGCGCCAATTACGACCCCCCCCCTCCCCTCCCCCCAGTGGTGGTTGCGGGAGCTGATAATTATAGTGCGCATACGGTCACGTGACCACTAAGAACTATAAATATCACCCTATTTTACGTTTACCTCTGAGGGGGAGGGGGGTCATCGGCAGAATCCGAAACGTCAGGCCAATAAACTTCTTCCTTCAGCGATCGCATCTTCTAATTGTCAACTGCTTCCTGGGACTCGCTTGTTCGCTTCTATCGGCAATTCCGCTTTCGTGGCGTCGACTCCCATCGATTGAACCCTTCCCAGTACTTCAACTCATAGCTCCCTCGCTACGGCGTGAAAATCTCATTTCTTCTTTGCAGGATCTGATATGCGCTGAAATGGGAAATCAAACTTACGTATCCCGAGGGTGAACCATAGCACCACGGTAAAGGTAAATCTACACAGTGTGCGCTACTCGTTTGCATAGGTCGAGTCCAACCTTCCGTCGCCTTCCTATCTCTCCTCCACGGTACTTGGGCTTCTATGTGTTTAGAGCGATTTGTTGCGTACCTTGTTGTTTAAGCACACAAAACTCTAGTTCATGCACCTGTTTGTGTACACCAGCAACTATCTCGTGTTAGTTAGGCTTTGGGTATTTTGATTGGTCTATTTGGCTCCGTTGTGTGGAGGTTTGCTGCAGTCGTGCGTCTTACCGCCACTTTCATTCACTGCGCAGCCGGCTGCACACACCCTGTGCAATGAACGTCGGCAGGCATCGAGGCTGTTAGTATGGCAAATTACAACATCCTACATATCCCTCAATATACTGATACGGATACTTATTAACCTGCTCCTGCGGGGCAGTATATATTGGTCGCACGAGCTGGCCTCTGTCCAACAGAGTACGAGAACACCTTCCGGCACGGCTAAAGAAGGGCCTAGTAAAGGGCATTAATAGTTCCATTTTAGCGCACATGGTAGACTCAAACCATCGCGTGAATGCCAGAGAGGCTTTCCGAGTGATCTACAAGGTGCCCTCCAGCAGCTCAAAATTACTTCGACAGCGTCTGTTGGCTACAGCAGAAGCAGCTGTCATCAGGCTACGCATACCGATACTGCGCTCAAAAGAACTTTGTAACGGCGCCGCAGTTACCATGGCTGAAACTCGCTTATACGACCGCACACGGTGTATCACTGGCCTCGAAAGCGTGCTCCCCCACAAGCAGACAAGTCTCCAATTCAGCCGCGCACACCTTTTCACCTGTCTTGGCCGCCGGTCCGCCTAGACTCTGACATTTTGACCTCAATTCCCCCCCCCCATCGAC